AGCGGAGTTATAGGCAAGTACCACAGTAAGACGGAACTCCGACAGAGAGGAGAGTACGTGAGTAGCACGCACAGAATCATTAGATATGATGAAAGAAGCTCCAGATTGAAGGCATGTTGGAAATCGATGAAGATAAGGACAACACAAAGAGCGACTGCGGGACATCCTGAGGATAGATGATGAATACACTACAAGGATAGGGAAAGTGGCGGAGAAGGATTGGAACGAAGGGTATAAATACTGAGGATAGTGGCTGAAATGATTACCTGAGCAGTGAGGTAGAAGGGTAATCGTGACTGGTGTCGCATGCCATTGACATTAGGTGTATGCTGTGAAAGTAAAACCTCGCACGTTCTGTCTACATTTGCATGTGTATGCTGTGAAAGTAAAACCTCGAACGTTCTGTCTACATTTGCATGTGTTTATCTCTACGCACGGTGCTTAGAACTTGCGGGCGGTACCCGCGATGATTGACACTGTATAGACCTGTCACTCTTCCATTTTACATTCACTGTCTTTATCTCTCTCTCATCATTCGTAACCCTTTTCTTTCATGATATCATAGTGGCGATTTGTTGGAGATTACTATAACATGGAGATTACTCATCGATTTTTGGAGATTCTATTTTACTTATCTGGTGTGTACTGAAGACGAGCAACGACGCTGTGTTTTTTTTTATCGATTTCAAGTACGAAAACTACCTACCTGACGTTCCCAAGCTTCAAGGAAGATGTCGCGTTCGTGATCATCGTCGGACAGGAGGCGGCATAGACACTCATCGTCATCTTCCGGATCTCAAGGGAGGAAGCGCTCAAGAAGGGGGAGATCGAAAACTCCGAGAGATAGAAGACATTAGTCAAGATCACCATCGTCACGCAGAAGAAGGGCGGAGTCAGAATCTCCAAGATGGTTCTCGAGACCATTGAGGGAGCAAAGACGGAATGATTTCCCCCCACCGGGAAATCATATAGTGGGCTTCGGCGTCTGTGTCAAGGTGTCGCATTTTTGGCAGCGGGCGACCAGGACGCAAGTGGGTTTTTCAGAGGCAAAAAAATTTGGGGGACCGTTCCTTAGCAAAATTGCGGACTACCTACAATTAGCTCTTGTAGAACCGGGACTTTTGGAAAAACGAAGGACCGGTCCTCGGGTGGAGGTGGACCCCAAAAAGAAGTGGGAGCA